TATATATATATCTATATATATCTTACAAATATATACATATATGCGGGTTGTTTTTCTTCAGACTACAGTGTCATAAGTGCCTAAGCAGACTGTTGTGTTGTGGAATATATACTAACAATTGGTTCTCTGGTGTGTTAATTAATCCTCACTGGAGGAGTTCAGACAGTCATTAGTTGGCATTTCCTCTCTCCCACAGGTTGTTATGCTTGTTCTAGCCTGGAAATTAGATGCACAGAACATGGGTTACTTTACATTACAAGAATGGTTAAAAGGAATGACCTCCCTACAGTAAGTTGTTGCTAAGTAGTCTCAATATTTACACAGGACACTGTTGTGTAAAGCTGGCATCATGTGGGGAATTATTTCTTGACATAGTTAAATCATTTAAAAATGTTTTGAATTTTTGTTTTTACCTGTTTAAGGGCTAGTTTACACCATCCTCGGTGCGTTCTAGCCCGATTGCATTACAGCCGGTGGACTATTTTTTTCTGACTGGACCGGAAACGCAGGCTTGTATGTGCCGCGCGTTCCCACGCAGCCGATTGCATTGCAGCTGGAGGGCGTGGCTGCGGTGCCATTGAGTGCACCACCACGCCCCCTCCCTTCCCAAAACAAAGTGAGCCGGCCGGAATGCGATCCAGTATGTTTCAGCCACAATCGGGGATGGTGTGAACTAGCCCCAACAGCCTAGGGTGACGGGAGGAGGCTAGGAATGAGAAAAAATCTCATTAACAGGTACACAGACACAAATAGTGTTCTGACAGATTGTTACCTTTTACTCACTCTATTCTAAACCTAAAAAATGGTTTGACCTTTTATTTTTTCCGGTGCGTGCCTATCAAACTTTGGTAAGAACTTTGTGCAGGGTGTTCCTCACACAGTTTCTCCTGTATGTCCACCTGTAACTTCTCAACCTGGTTCTATCGGCTCTCCAAAACCACACTTTGAACCTATCAGACGCTTTAAACATGTTGATGCTCTCCCACAAGGTCACTTTTTTTCTTGTTGCCTTTACTTCTGCAGAGCGAGTCTTTGAGTTGGCGGCCTTCTTGTGTAAAGAACCTTTTCTTGTTCTATGCAGAGATAAGGGTCTTCTGAGGCCTAGGACCTCTTTTCTTCTTAAGGTTGTTTTTTCCTTTCGGAGTACATTGAACTTGCTACCCTCCATCCTGCTGTGGTACATCCCAAGGAGATTTCCCTCCATTCATTGCATTTGGTGTAAGATTAGATATTTGAGCTTGTCTTGGCTGGAGTTCTTCCTTCAGACTGACTGACTCACTTTTCTCATTCCCGAGGGTGCCCACATGAGACAGCCGGCATTTCTTTTTAACATTTCATTTAGACAGCTCCTCATACCAGCCTATAAACTTAAAGGCAAAGTTCCACTTTTTCCTGTTAAGGTGCACTCCACTAGTTCAGTTAGTGCCTCCTAATTAATGATTAAGAAAACAGGATATGACTTGCTGTATAATTATTTTCTTGGCGTTCATTAAGGAACACAGGTCCCACCCCTCTGTTTTATGATCATTCTTCAGGGCCGTCCCACAAATGAGGCCCTGCACTCTGTACGTTACATAGTCCACAGCCTTGCCCCTCCATACATTACATAGTCCAGAGCCCTGCACTCGATACATTTCATTCTGCTAAGCCCAAATGTGTTACATACACCTGAGCTCTGCACTTCATATGTTACATACACCCGAGTCCTTCATGCCATATGTTACTCAGTCCAGAGCGCTGCACTCCATACATTACATTCTGCTAAGGCCTCATATGTTACATACACCTGAGCCCTTACATAGTCCAGGGCCATCCACCCCCTACATTACATAGTCCAGAGCCCTCCACTCGGTACATTACATACTACGAAGTCCTCATATGATACATACATGTGCCCTTCATTCTATATGTTACAGAGTTTTGAGCCCCGCACTTACATAAAACACTCCTGATCTCTGCATTCTCTGTACTATGATGTACACTGCCTGGCCAAAAAAAAAGGTCACGCACTCTAATATTTTGTTGGACCACCTTTAGCTTTGATTATGCTTTCACTGTGGAATGGTTTCGATAAGCTTATGCAATGTCACAACATTTACCTCCATCCAGAGTTGTATTTTTCACCAAGATCTTGCAGTGATGATGGGAGCGTCGGACTTCTGCGTGAAGTCTTCTCCAGCTCATCCCAAAGATTCTCAATCGGGTTAGGGTCTGGACTCTGTGGTAGGCAATCCGTGTGTGAAAATGATGTCTCATGCTCCCTGAACCACTCTTTCATAAAATGAGCCCAATGAATTCTGGCATTGTTATCTTGGAATATGCCCAATGTGCCATCAGGGGAGAAAAAAAATGCTGGTCATTCAGTATATTCAGGTGGGCAGCCGACATCATTTGTTGCCAGTTTACTCACTGCAGTAATTATCCTATGGAAGGCTGTTACCTATTTGCTTAGCTAAATCCAGTGTATATTGCATAGTCATATTGCATAGACTCTATATGGTATGCTGTTATATTCTGAATAAAGTATTTATTTCCTCAACCATTGCTCCTTGCTCTTTAAGGTAGACTCAGGCAAAGTGTTAGCTCCCTGTCTAAATTCTGTTTTACATTATAATAAAATGATTGTTTTGAGTGTGTGTGTGTCTGTGAGATGCTTGCTCATAACTGGTCATACCCTATGCATTTTTTCTTATTCAACCCTGTGGGCTGAACGAGAACAAATCACTTGATTTCTCCAACAGAGAACAGTGTGGATAAGGGAGTCTCCCCTACGTGCTATTGTATTCTGACAGCCGCCACCCACCATTGTCTGAATACTACATTTGGCTGACAGTTTTTTGCCCAGCTCCTTCAATAAAAGTCAATTAAAAAAATCAACTTTTGTCAAATGGAGAGGTGATGGCAGGTCCACACACAGAACTTGAATTTTCTGCTGACTCGGCTGAAATTTGAGCAGTGTATGACCAGCTTAATTAAGGGGCATTTTATGGTTACAAAGACTGCAGACTGTGTACAATTTGTACTCTAATTAGTCTCAGATTGCCCCAAGCCACGCTCAATATTTGGCATAATGTAGCTATGGTTCTTGTTCTCCACTCTGCACACTGTGTCACTTTCCTTAAATCTCTAGGTGTATCTCAACTCTCTACCAGAGATGTGCTTGGGAGGTATTTAGTCTCGCTTTTTCTCACACGCACTGTTTGACTTTTTATCTGTAAAGCAAGGCAGATTACTTATTTAATGGTTTATGATCTAAAGCACAATTTTGCCAATGCTTTGGTCTCTATCGACCTAAGGTTATGCTTGTACAAACAAATTCATCTTAGGATTGAATTATTGCTGCAAGGCCTCATTCACACGAGGTGTCTCTCTCCGGAACAGGATACTAGTCCCTCTACTATTATCTTCAGTATTTGCAATTCTTCTTTTTTTGGTAAAATGTGAAATATGGGCAATGCACAGAACAGAAACTGGTCTCTCTGATTCTAGTCAGGGTGGGAACTCTACCTTTCCCTTTCTCTCTTCCTGGCAGAACTCTCCTTGCGCTTGTTTCTGCTTCCCTACCCAATGATTCTAGTTCATTGCAACTCAGTTTTCCCAAGTTCATGTGCATCTCCCTGTTGGTCAATTCTTTAATTTGTCCTTCGATGGACTTCATCTTGACACTGCAGGATCTTCCCATCCAGAACGTTCTTTTTCCTGATGACAAGGGTAGCACAGATACATAGAATGGATTAAATAGAAACACGGAGATCATTGTATCCTTTATGTAAGGGCAAGTACTTACATGGAGCAAAGACAGGAAGCTGTGTCTGGTTCTGTGTCAGGCTGGGCAATAATTACCATGGGCCAGCCTGACAGACTGCACCCCATATGTGCCTCCATTGCCTTTATTAGCACATTATCCATGGTGGAAACCAATCAAAACTAAATAGAGTAAAGTACTTCTAACTTTTAAAGTAGAATCGTTATGTATTTTCAATAAGTATATGTTCTTAGTTATTGTTAAGTTCATATTTTGCATATTTCTTCTATTTTCATGTGGGTATTTCATAGGCACACCTAGCTTCTCCTCTGGTGGTTATCTGCATATCAAACTGATTCTGCTTCCATCTTGTCTGCTCCATATGGAACCCCTGCACCCACCACTGCCTGGAAGGGGGAAATGGCACCCTCCATCGGATTCCCTGACCTTAATACCCCCCCCCCCCCATACTGATGTCTGCGTCTGTTCACAGTTCTGCTTGGCTACACTTAAGCCGGTATGCGCGGTTCTGTTTTTTTTGTTCAACCCGCAAGCTGAATGACAAAAATCGAACAGATTTCTCCATCAACGTTTACGAGCGTTGATGGATCAATCTCCCGTTTTTACCTTTTGTATTGTGATAATTGCCAGTGGCCACTGTCAGAATATGCTATTGGAGCAAGTAGCTGTTTGGCTGCTAGCTCCGTTTGGCCCAAAATTTTCCAACCGGCTCCTTTGGTCAGCTGATCGAGGGATGCCGGGCAAAAGGATCACCCATTCAGCAAATTTCAGCCGGTTCAAAGAGTGTATACATTAATTTAGACTTGCACTGAGAGAAACAGCAAGTCACAATTCTTTTTGCAGCACTATCAAGCAGGAAAAAGACCCTGCATAGGGAAGTATATATGTGTGCCCCTTGTACATACATTACAAACCAGAACTACAATTTTTTAAACATAATTACTTATAAGGTGATAACCTTATAACAATGTAATACAAGTCATCTCATCAGTGTATGCTATTGCAGGGCTCAAAATTTCCACTCACCCGCTCGCATTTGGCGAGTGGAAATAAAGAGAGGGCGGACAGTTCTGAGCCCCATTCGAAAGGATGGATTAGTAAGGTCTGCAGACCTTACTAATCCATCCTTTCGAACGGGGCTCAGAACTGCAGAGCTCCGGCCGAAAGGAACGGAGCCAGGACAGCAAGGAGCGGCTGCTCTCATAAGTCAGGTACGCGATCCGTACCTGACTTAATCACGAGGGATCAGATTCGTTCCTCCTCCCTGCATAACGGCAAGCAGGTGAGGGGGCTCTTTCTTTTATGTGGGCGGGGGAGGGGGGGAGAGAGTAGATTGTCATGTGTGTTTAGGAGGGGCAGAGAACAGCGGGGTATTATTTTATATGTGGGGGCAGAGAACAGGGGGGTATTATTTTATATGTGGGGGGCAGAGAACGGGGGAGGATTATTTTCTTTGTGGG